AAGTTGTAGACTTGCAGAACACTTGCAGCACAAGTTCTAGTTGACACTTTTTGAATTTGTAGTAAATTTGCTTGGCATGTCTACAGCAAGAGTCCTGCAGGTCTTAGCAAGAGCTCTACAAGTGGACAGCACTTTTGCAAAGCACGTTGACCTGGAGACTTGCAATGCAGACTTGCTGTAATTGTGCAACACAATTGTGAAGCTTGGCAAGTCTAGCAATAGTTTAGCAAGTCATTTTCAAACTTGCAGCTCAATTGCTTGCTATCTGGGCAGGTTATGTACGAAGCCAGGGGCTGACCCACTAACAGGTCTATTCACAAAAGGGTGAAGAGTTTGGGGAAGACAGGAGAAGTGAACAATCTAGGGCAAAATAGCCGATTTGGAAAAAATCTCCAATTCAGCTCACTTTCCAGTTCAGCTATGTTGTCCTAGATTGTTTCCTTCCCCTGCCTTCTCCAAACTCTTCACCCTTTTGTGAATATACCCCTAAGTGTTCTTTATAAAACATGACTTTTAGGTGGAAGGATCCCTTCAAATCATCACTCTTGAAGAGCCCTTTTCCTGCTACCTACTGTACCATCCAAATAAAAAAGGAACAGTTGGGTAATGGAAAATAGCGGCTTTTTGGGTGTCACTCCAGGAGTACAGCAAATGCACAGATTCGAATTTTCTATGTTTGCTCAGTTCCCAGAAATCATCTCGCACAGGTTTTTTCTCAGATCCAGAAGATGAACTCATTTGTGATGTATAATTACCTGCCCATTCATGTATGATACATAAGACAAATTCTATATCCACTCATTAGATACAAGACAGTGGCCTCTAAGTCATGCGGATGACTGGGTGATACATAGCCTATGAAATATTGAAATCGTTTTCCCGTACATTAGAAAACATAGTCTGCTGATCAGATTTTTAAAAAAAAATCATTGGTAAGAACACCCGCCAATGGGTGACCTTTCCCCCTGCGCGTTTTCTGGATGTTTAAGTAATTAGCTATATGAGTCTCCCTGCCCTTTAAGAACTAGAGCTACAGGTTTCCGCTGTAGAGTTTTTTGTCTATACATTTAGGGCATAATCCATTTATGAC